TTTTATGTTCCTGCTACCTAATTTAAAACTTTGGATACTTTCTTTCTCCATTTTTTTATTATGTAACAATAAAGTTTCAGCCTGTATGATGATTTACTATAAGTCTTTCATTAGTGAGATTTGGAATGAACAGACCAATTATTTATAAAAGCACTATGCATACAGTTATATCTATCTTGTGCTTCCCTTGACTCTTATCATTCACATGTAGTATCACTTTTCTTTTTCAAATGTTAGGCCTAAGTATTCTTGAACCTAGTGACTGCTCATTAGTTGGTGTATGACCTTCACTGTTTTGCACAGTTAAGTTTGTCTGCTGCTCTACTCTCAAACTAACTTACTGGATGAAGGCCATCTCAAGCAACCAGATTCGTTAGTGGAATATTAGATTTTCTTATAGCTTCTCATCTCCATCAATTTCATTGTTTCACATTGTCTTCTTTTGAACTATAAATATCTTACAATAGATTTTGACCATCCAATACTTTAAAACATAATTGGTGAGATGTGTCTTCAATTATCATGCTCTCAATGTCTTCTAACCCCAAAACAGTTCTGCATCTCATACTGCACTACAGTATACTTGCTTGTCATACCACAGTTATGAGATTTTTCAATGTAATACCACAATTTTTGATACAAGTGAACCTATTTGCCATGGGCCAATTCATCTCAAACTCAGTTGTATTTTGACTAACAGTTGGTACCATAACCACACCATCTTCTTGGGCAAATTGTATAATCTCTAGCTTTATGACCTAGTGCAACCTTGTATCTAGCCTATTACTTTTACATCCTGCCAGTTATAACATTAAGTTATTATTTAAAATATTTTTATTAAATACTTAGTATTTTACAAAAGCCAAGATTATTTCTCAACATCATAAGATTCAATTGAATACTACATTGTCAATTTACAAGTCATAATTAGAGAATCTTGTTATTACAGTTTCTTTATTGATCATTAGTTATCTATCTATAACTGATGGTGATGAATTTAAGAATATTGTGCAAAGCAACACAATGGTTATCTGTGTATTACGATCCATAATTTTGAACTGAAAGACTAGAAGGAAGGTAGTTAGTCAATAGCACTCACTGCCACATGGTGAATGTTGGATATACAAGACTGTTTAGTTTAAGAGTTATTATTTAGTTTACTTAGTGGTTTAATATTTAATGATTATTTAGTTTTCATAACAAGCGTTAAAAGTTAATTATTCTAAAAGTGATAGTTATGACAAGTTTTGTTACATAATTCTGTGTATGTTATAAATACTTGCAGATACAGAGTGCAAGTAAGGAGCTAAAGTAAATTAGCAAAAGTTAAATTACTGGAAGTGAAGTTAGACTGCGTGATTATCAGTTTAGCTGTAATGGGCGATTTCTGAAGTGAGTTTCACAGTTTGTATTGTAACAACAGAGATAAAGAATAATAGCTTCTCTTGAGAAAGGGTGTTCTAAAATAATTAAACCTGCGCATGTGGACTTTGACAAAAAGGAGACAATTACTTAAAACTCTGGATACAACTGTGGTAAACAACAGTTATAGTGCTGAATTTGAAGTGAGTTTCACAGATTGTATTGTAACAACAGAGAGTGAGAGAGAAGAATAATTTGTCTCGTCAATTGGGTTCTAAAGTAACTGAACCAGCCTGTGCGGACTTTTGACAAAAAAAGAGAATTATTTAAAGTTCTGGATACAATTGTGATAACCAACAGTGTAATGTACATTTGTACTTACGTTTGACTTGTTTTAATATATTATTTTAAAACAAGTGGACTGTGTGCTGTTTGTTTATTGTTGAACTTTATCGCCAACAAGTCACAGACACTTACTGTAAAGAATCTGGCTTTCCAATGGAGAAAGAATTAGATAGCTAGATATTATAAATCTTGAAATTCAAAATGTTATTCATTACATCTAATGCTCATACATGTCATTGGGAATAATCTTTGGTTGTATCTGAATTATAAAGTTTTGATGATTAATTTTCATTGGATTTTGTTCATCATGCAGCAACAGCTTTATTTCAAGAAATAAACAAAGGTGCTATTTTGTAAAGTGTTGGAATATAAATTTTTTTAGAACTACTTAATTGGCATTGTTAATTTGAGGGTGACAGGATTACACTTGCAGTTTAACATTGAATTCCATCACTGTCAGGTTTTTATGAGGATCTCTAAACTTTCAGTTTCTAAGGGCAGCTTAGATTCTACAAGTGTTCACAAATTCATACATTTTCCAACTATTTGAGTATTCCTGTTGTACTATTTGTATTCCACTTGTGCATGCAAGTTTTATAGATATTGGATATTTTATAATTCTATGTTTGTAGGATGGGCATTATTTGTATAGCCTTTAGCTACTGTTACTTAAATAAGATATCAGTCTTTAACAATTTAGAAACTAAAACTAGTTTTATTTCGGACAATTAATAGACTTAAAGTAAAAACATTGGTATTTGCAACTTTGTGAAGTTACCAATTTCAGCACGACAGCATAAAGATAAATGAACAAATTAAAAAAATAACATCTTTTTTTATATGAGAAAGATCACATTCAAGTGTTCCAGTCAAAGTATTCATCATTTGACTATATATAAAATTATATTCTTGAGGTAAAAATTTTTAATAACTGTATTTTGTTAGTTTATGATATTATGTACTGATATATGTAGAAATATTTAATTTTTGTTGACTTTAAATGACCAAAAATATATACAGAAATTTGTCAACATTAATTTTTTATTCACCTTTTCATAGAACATCATACCTAATCACATATTTTAATAGCAGCTACAATAACAAGGAAGTATTTAGTAATAAAAGAAAGAACTTTTCAAAAACATATTTTGATCAGGAAATTTACAATTTAAAAGAACAAAAGATAAAAGAACAAACACTAACAAGTATCTTTTAGATAATAAAATAACAAAAGTAAACAAAGCACATTTTGTAGGAAATACTTTCACAAAATATATGTATCAAATAAATAGCAAATTTTAAAAACATACTCTGCACCAGAAATATGGGTTATTCCATACGTTAACAAAAAAAGCGTCTTTGTAGTTCACATACATTTCACTAGACCAAATCTTCATCTAACTCACTAACATTGACACAAAAGCAAAAATTATAAAAATTTTTCTATAAAAAAAATATCTTTTCATTTCCCCATTAAAGGCTAAGTTCCATGATAAAAAATTAACCTTTCATCGCATATAGGTTATACACCATGTAAAAATAACTAGTCAGTTAAAAAATAACAAAACAAAAAGGATGTAAAAGTTGAAGGAATTTCTTCATTCAAACCAAAATTAAATTAATTAAGCCTATAGATGTGTGTATACATATGCATGTGTATTATGCTTTAGTATTTATTGACTAATAACACAAAAAAAAACAGTTGAATACACAAAATACGTTTCTCCTCAAATCTTTAACTCAAAACAATTTTTTTTTTATTTGTAATGCTTCAGGAATTTAATTTGTTGAGAATATAAGTTTCATATACATACAGTTAAGATTGTAGGCATTGACTTGTTGTTTGTATTAAAAAGGTAAAGGCAGTTTATATGCAATTTCTCTATGATATTGCAATGCCTGCTACAAACCATGGACACATAGTAGCAATAATTTTGGATATTATAAATCAATAGCACATAGACTGATTTTTCTCATATAGTTAAGATGAATCGATTTGAATCTTGACAAATGGCATTTGATGGACAGTGTATCCAGTTGGGTACAAGATTTAGTGACAAAGTTTTATATCAAGTATGTTATTTTGTTGCACCTTTTTGATGTGTATATACATACAAAGAACAAGTTGTCTTTCCCTATTGTAAAGTTCATGATAACTTAGTTAAAAAGTTGGTTTTTCATGAACAAAATACATAAATAACTACTTATGTCTTGTATTACATGGTTATTTTGGAGATTAGTAAACAATTGAAAATGCAAATATAAAAAACGTTTTATGAGGTAGCCTGGTGCAAAATATATCATTGTGTAATGACTAACCATCATATGTGAAACAACTTGATATTAGTATATATTAATGTTTAACATGTTAAACGGAAGAAGAATTTTTACAACTGCTGTAAAGCTGTATGTAGTATACATGAATGTTTAGCATGTTAAAGTGTAGAAGAATTTTTACAACTGCTGTAAAGCTGTATGTAGTATACATGAATGTTTAGCATGTTAAAGTGTAGAAGAATTTTTACAATTGCTGTAAAGCTGTATGTAGTATACATGAATGTTTAGCATGTTAAAGTGTAGAAGAATTTTTACAACTGCTGTAAAGCTGTATGTAGTATACATGAATGTTTAGCATGTTAAAGTGTAGAAGAATTTTTACAACTGCTGTAAAGCTGTATGTAGTATACATGAATGTGTAACATGTTAAAGTGTAGAAGAAATTTACCACTGTTGTAAAACATACATGGATGTTTAGCATGTTAAACTGTAAAAGAATGTTTACAACTGCTGTAAATTTGTTTTTGTTAAGCTTACTAGTGCAAAGCTATACAATGGGCTATCTGTGCTGTGCTCACCCTGAGCATTATAAGCATTTAGACTCACCACTGATCTACTAGGGTGACCACTACTGTAAAGCTATAATTAACATGCATGAATGACATGTTAAAGTGAACAAACATTTTACCACTAATATAAAGCTATAAGTAATGTGCATGAATGTTTGGCATGTTAAAGTGTAGAATAATTTTTTTCCCACTACTGTAGAGCTATATGTAGGATGTGTGAATATTTAGCATGTTAAAGCATAGAAGAATTTTATCACTAATATAATGCTGTAAGTAAAATGTATGAATGTTTGACACGTTAAAGTGTAAAATAGGTTTTACCACTACTGTAAAGCTATATGTAGCTTCTTGTTAAAAATAATCCTTTTCTGTTGTGTCAACGCTTTAAAATTGGAACAGTACAATGACTAAAATAAAAATATAAAACTTAAGACTAGTATAGTTTCCAAAATTGCCTTCTAAAAAGAAATTTCCAAATACAGTTATATAGTTTACTTGGTGAAACCTTTTTAATTAACATCTGTGTTTAACAAAGCATAAAATCATGAAGAATTCAGATGTAAAAATACTGATGGTTCATGCAACGTTTTCTAACTATTTTAAGTTTTTTAAAACATAAAATCAGTGTATAAAGCATTCTGTGTGCCAAATGTGTCAATGATAAGATTTAAAATAATGGTCTGATTGTTTACACTTTGTGGAGGAAGAAATAAGCAGCTTGTTTAAAGTTTATCCCAACTGTTCTCACCTAACTTAATAACTTGCTCTGCTGATCATGATGTAATTAAATAATTTTAACTTTTGTTTATTTCTTACAACAGTTAATACCAATCACAATTCTCTAAATATACACATGATTAAATAACGAAAGTGATAGTCTATTAATTGGTTAATAGTACACATGATTAAATAACGAAAGTGATAATCTATTAATTGGTTAATAGTACACATGATTAAATAACGAAAGTGATAATCTATTAATTGGTTAATAGAAACAATAAGAAGAAGGGTAGTATTCAATAGGACAAGCTTTAAACTACGGAGTGGTACATTAAAAATATTTGAGTTTTTTCAATGTTAAGTGATTTGCCCAGCCGTAATGATCTTGAGCTTTCAAACAATGATTATGTACATATGAAATAACTAATATCTAGCAAAAACAATACTGAGGTCCAAATATTGCTTCTTACTTCCAAATTATCTGGTCCATTGTCTGTCAAAAAATAAAAATTATTAGCAACAGTAAGTTAATTTATCACCACTTCTTCATAGGACAGTAAAAACAAAATTCATATTTTAAGAAAACTGCATGTTACGTACAGTCCATATAAAAAAACTTTGTCTTTCTCTTATTCTAGTATCAAAATCAACCATAAGATTAGGAGAAATGAGAGCTTTGTGCCAAAAATTGATGAAACACTTGAGTGCTAAATGAAGTTTTCCAAATTAAACTGATGTTAAATATTTTGCCATCTGCAATATTTTTTTTTTTTATGAATAAGAAAAATGACTAATTGTTTTAAGTCAAATTAATAATAAAAAAATATCTTAAGTAGTGTATAACACAAAATATAGCAAAGAAAATTGGTATGAAATATCAAAATATGATTTTTAACACTTTTCACTTAGAAGCAAATGATTTATTTTATTGCAATTTTCCAGCATTTAAATGAAACAAATAAATTTCTACACATTTAATAAAACTTCATGACTTGAAGAGAAAGTTCACAATTTTTCACACATCAAACACTATATAGTTTATCTGCACACCCAATGACCCTAGCTTGTAAAAAAAGCAAATAAAAGGTCCTTATTTTCAAATTATTTTTTAAAATTTGCAAACTCAAAAACTGATTGTGCAAAAAATTTAAAATAACCTTTAAAAATAAAGTTTAAGTTCATATTTAAAATATCAGTTCTTAAACTTTCATATCATGACATGACTAATCAAAACAGGTATTCTTTTGTAAGAATGAACTTTTTTTGCGAACACACAACTTAATACAGGGCAGTCATTTGTTTTGTTCCCCTGTCAACAATTCCACCACCATGCACTGCCACCTAGTAGTCATTTATGTGAAGTAAAATCCTATCATTCCTCTTCTTTATGATATTACTACTACAATAATTTGTATATGGAAGATCAAGGTGAACTACCTTCTTTTCCCAGTGAGATCTGAGGCACATTCTTGCTCATCATAAAATATGTTAGTGGTCTTCTCTTCTATCCAAAATGTCTCATCTACTTACAGGTGATGAAGTGCCAGGCACAGATGGTGACAGTTCAGTAGCTTGTGGTGCTGTCTGGTATGGTGACACTTCAGTAGCTTGTGGTGCTGTCTGGTATGGTGACACTTCAGTAGCTTGTGGTGCTGTCTGGTATGGTGACAGTTCAGTAGCTTGTGGTGCTGTCTGGTATGGTGACAGTTCAGTAGCTTGTGGTGCTGTCTGGTATGGTACAACTTCAGTAATTTTTACGTCAGGGCTGGAAGGTGCTTCTTCTGTGAACGAAGCACCATTTAGTGTTTTTGGTAACACAATAGATGTATCTTCTACTTAGGGCTTCTAATGCAGATCTGTTTGGCCCTTCATATCTCCTGTGATTTTAGTCTATATGACATCACTCTACCATCTCCTAACAACATTGTGTATGGAACTGGTCCAGCTGCTTCTTGAACAGTTCCAGGTATCCATATTCGGCCATGACTGAAGTTGCGTGTGTGTATACACTGAATCTCCTGTTAAAAGCCTGTAGCATATCCCTTTTGTTCCACTTGCATTGTTTGTACTTTCCCCTTGAGAAAAGGGTGTAGCATGTTAAGTGTAGATTTTGGTTTATGACCCATCAATATCTCCAGTGTTTCTAGGGTGCTTCCTGATATCTTCTTTAAGCAGTCCTTAAATGTCTGCACTATATGTTCTGCTAATCATTTGAGGATGGGTGATATGAGGCAGAAGTCACACAAGAGATTACATTCCTGCTCATGAATACTTTAAATTATGTGCTGATAAAGAGAGTTCCACTGTCAAACATTAACATATCCAGTAATCCACATATTTGCTGAATCTGGTTCTGATATTTTCTGTGATTACTGATGAAGTTGATGTGTTTGTGGGATAGATATCTAAATGTAGAAAGTGCATTCACAACCACTAAGAAAATTATTCCCAAAAATAGTCTAGAATAATCAAAATGTAACCTTCTCCAAGGTTTTTCCAATCACAAGTATGAGCTCTTTTTTTCTATCATAATGCACCAACACATCTGATTATAGCAGCAATGGTTTTCAAGCCTCAAACATTTTCTCTTGTTCTGACCCCCAAAGCCACTTCATATCACTCCACAACAGCTTATGCAATGGTGTTGAGAGTATTTAAGTTTGGAATTAATTTGTTGTAGTAACTTAACAGTCCTAAGTAGGTCTTTAACTCTGACATATTAGTAGATGTAGGTGTGTCTTGAACTGCTTGTACTTTCTATTTTATAGGTTCTAAAGCCATTGCATTTATCCTGTGTCCAAAGAACACTACTTCTTTTTCTAGAAAAGTACACTTAATTCTCTTTAAACAAATTCTGGCTTAAAATCATAAATAATATTCAACGTTAAACTGGTACACAATTAAAAACATTTTATTTAGGCCTATCTATGGCCTTCAAAAAGTTGACGACTCTACAAGTTTCGACGTTACAACGCCGTCCTCTAAAACAAACAAACCCTTT